TTTCCCTCTCTCTGGTGAGCACATGCACCCTATAGCAAACTTTTTAAACAAAGAAAAACAAGACTAAACATACACTAGCCCTTGGGCATACGATCAGCAACATCACTGTCTTCCACCTCCACAACTTACTCTGCTGAAAGACCATGGTAAACAAACACGAGGTTAAATCCACTGCAAGAGAAAAATGATCCAATCAAGAGATGAGATGCTTGTGAGGTACACGAGCTGCTGCCAGCATAGCACAGCATACTAATTATAGCAAATTTTACAAATAAATAAATAAATATCGATAGAAGGAGGGCACTCTAAAATAACGACAAAAATGTATAGTATAGGGGCCAGACTGTGGTGCAGCAATAACGCAGCCGGACTCTGAAACAGTCCCCCGTTTGCATCTGAGGGCTTGTCCGTACACGCTACGTGCTGGGCACACATGTGCCAGGGACCCAGGCGTGCTCACCCTGGGGCTGGATTGCAGTGTGAGGACTCCAGCCGGGGGCAACTGTCTCTGTCTATCTCTCTCACTCATGGAAAAAATAAACAAGTAGACTTTAACAAGGTGTAGTGTGGCAAATGCACTCATTTATGATCCAGTATAATGCACGGCGTGTGGTTGTGTGTGCTGTCATACAACTGGCAGTGCAGCAGGTGTGTTACCCCAGCAGCACACAAACACATGGGGAATGCTTCACACTGTGACGTTAAGACAGCCACAGCATCGCTAAGTGGGAGGACTTTTTCAGCTCCACTATAACCACAGGGGCCACCACCGTGTATGCGGTCCATCACTGGCCCGAACACGGATACATGGTATATGCGCATATGTTATCATACCGCTTTCATTTTTTTAATATCTTTAATGGTCAGAGGGTGTGTGCTCTTGTAAGAGAGAGACGGAGATAGAGAATTCCCTAATAGGGCAAGGGCAAGCTGTGGTCCCTTGTACTCCATTTCTCCACCCTATCAGAGCTTGGGGCATGCATGCACGTGCGCCCAGGAGTCTTTCTTTGTTTTGGGGGGAGTAGGGATTTACAGTTTTTTGCCATTGTGCCCATGTGCTCTCCAGGAGAGAGACACAGAGAGGGGGAAAGTAAAACGCCATCCCTCAGGAGGGACGGCCGTGCCACAGTCTCTTCTCCATTCTCTTCTTGGGATTTTGGGCATGCACATACACGTGTCCAGTTTTTCAGTCCTCTAGGTCTGGGACTTGAACCACACAGATGGCCATGTGGGACCCAGTTGCCTTAACTGCCACACTACCTGCTGGTCAATGGGTGGGGGTGTTGTTTTTGTTTGTTTGCTTTATTTCTATCTAGATGTTTTTTAAGCTACAGGGGCTAGGATTCCAACCACAGTCAGCAATGTG